CCCTGCCACTGAAAAGCCACAATCTGCTCCCACACATTTGGGAGTGTGGCTTGGAGCTTTCAGATCTCCCCAAGGCAACGCAGGCTTGAGTTCTGGGCCACGTTTTGTCTTTAAACATGGTTTCTTCCTTTTCCTCCTTTCTTTCTGAATTGTCTTTACCTAGAGGAGTTCATCACCCTTGGTCACCATAAACCTCCTATAGGCCCTTCCCTCACAATCCTTCAAGAATTTATTTTGAACTGGGGATGCTTTTTACTTTATAGAACACTTTGTCCCCACTGAGTGTAAAAAAGACCTATTTGCAACATAACCTTTCTGTTATGAGCTGGGAAAGAACGTTTATCTTGCTGATTCGGTAAACACACGCTGACTCAAGTGCTTGTGCTGAGCTGGCAAACTAGATCAGACAGCCCTCCCCAGTTATAAACAGCCTACTGTTAGACTAAAGGAACAGCTACATTATAAAGTAGGTTTTGACTGAAGCTGTATCTCTGTCTCTTAACATGGACAAAGAATTATGTGTTCCTATCCATGCTGATAATAATAAACACTGCAAAATGAGAAATTCCCATAATAGTCTAGATGACATTGCATAAACTATCTTTTACCTTAACACATGAGTGCACATGAAGTGTAGCTGCCTTCTATTACAGTTGTCCATAAAGTATATTGTGTGGTATACTTGCAAAAGCTTTGGGCCAAGCATTTTGTGGAAGGCTGCTGGCTCCTGTTTCTTTCTTGTTTAACCTCCCTATCAATGAATGGGCTACTGGTGCAAATGAATGTTTTTCCATTTCTTCTGGAAGAGGGCACTGTTTTATCCTATATCATGTCCTGCTGTAAAACCACTGGACTTTTCTTCTCTGTTTTTCTCTATCATTTTCTACTGTTGACAGTTAATGCCCGACTCTTTTGTGGATCTCTTTTTTGCAGGCTTCTAACCCAGGTCAATTTGAGAGTGACAGTGATGTCCTTTGGCAGCGCTCTCAGCTCCCTGACACTGTCTTTCACCATGGCCGAGTTGGCATCAACACGGACAGACCTGATGAAGCCTTGGTTGTCCATGGCAATGTAAAAGTTATGGGATCCCTTATGCATCCATCAGACATCCGAGTAAAAGATGATATCCAAGAGGTAATGTTCACCCCCACAAACTGTATTACATCTACTTTGAAAATCCACAGAAGACCTTTCAGTTTTGATTTCTGGACTGAAACTTTCATGAGAACTGAGTAAGTAGCCCTCACTGCAAGCCAAAAAGAGGGCACTATAGAAATAGGCCAACCTCTGCCTAACCCTTGGAATTAGCAGTTGTTCTAGTCTCAGCACTAAACACAATGTTCAGGAGGCAAACATTCAGAGGAGGTTGCTCTGTTTGGCTGCTTCCTGTGTTGTGTCTCACAGTGTGTTTCACTGTTTTTTTCCAAGCGTTCCCTTCACATCAAGCTATATGTGACTATAGTTGTAGTTAAAGGTTCAGTTATAGCACATGGGACTTCCTATATCTTTAACTATATATCTTCTTTGTAAAATGCAGTTGCAAACTTTTGATTTTAATAGTTTGTGTTCTGCATGGAAGGAAGGTTTCAGAGTTTCTAGGTTGCTACTAGGTGCATTGGCACAAATATCTGGCTGTAACTTGACCTGGCTTCACCTCTAAAGGCTACAAAATCCCAGTTTGCTTTTTCACTTGAAAGTATCTTATGCTAATTCCTGAATACTAGATAAAAACATTTAATCCTTTTTTTACTTTGGGAGCTTAGACACTTAGTCTAAGCTTAACGTTTTAGTGTCTAAGCTAAATATTTTTTTCACTTTGATATTCTAAATATACTTAAATGATTCACATCCTTGCTGATTTTTATAGAATACACAGTAGTTTGTTCTGTAAAAGTCAGCATAGATAGTAATCATTAAGCAAGTTATAATGCTGGACAAGCTTTGTTTTGGGTGGCAGGAAATAATATAAGTCTCCTTAGTTTTTAGAAAATTGAAGTGTTGTCCTTTACCTGAAAGGCTACATTCTGCTGTTCCCCCAGCTAAAATCCTTAATATAGAGAACACCTAAATACTGCCTGAAATCAGCATGCCACTCCCTACCATATATACCTGAGATTCAAACTTCCAGTAGACCTTTTTCTGTCTGGTAGCTGAGTGTTGAGGACTACAGAGTGCACTTGTGGATTTCTTTTTCTTATAATTTTAGGTAGACACCACAGAACAACTGAAGAGGATCTCCCGTATGCGGCTGGTGCACTATCAGTACAAGCCAGAATTTGCTGCCACTGTTGGCTTGGAGAATACATCTGAGACAGGTACAGATCATTTTTATGACATCAGACTTCATCTGTGTTAGCAAGTGTGTCTAAAACTATAGATTACACTTATTTGATGGACCCACATAGCCTTGGCTGTCCCATATTTGGCTTCTCTTTGATGATGATTGCTTAGTGTTCTTGGCAATAATTTTATACTTACAGATGACATATTTTTATCTGAAGATAAAAGATCACTCCTATTTAGAGAGTATGGTTAATTATAATGCCTAGGTATTTGAAAATCTACATTATTGCAAGATAGAGGAAAATCATTTATCAAACATCATTCATCAAGATGTGAAAACCCAGGCCTGATACTCTTTCTTTACTCAGTAGAAGCTGAATCACTTTAAATGTCAGATGTAATTGCTATACTTACACCATTATTTTTCATAGCAAATAGCTAAAATGCAGAGTGCATTTTTGTGCCTTTGTTGGAACATAGATGTTGGAATACCTTATGTGCGGGTGTTGCAAGATAGGATGTGTGATCACCCAATGGTGAATTCATATTTGTTCCCTTTACATCCTCCCCCACTCCTCCTCCCCCACCAGGGCTCATATGTTACATTCCAGTTACTTTATAGGTAAAACTCAATTTCCTTCAAAGAGGGCTCAACTGATGACTTTAAAGATATATCTGTGCACATATGGGATGTGCTTTTTACTTCCTAGCCAAGTGTGCAGTGTTTCCTGGAGGAATCCCATCCAAGTACTAACCAGGCCCCATCCTGCTTAGCTCCCAACACCAGACAAGGTCAGCCAGGGGCTGCCACCTGTTGAGATGTTTTCTGTGGCACTTTTCATAATGGAAGTATATGCATTAGACCACGTACTTTAAACAGATGCCCTCCAATAGCAATCCAAGCTATTGCTTAAACTCATCTCTCAGCTGAAGAGGAAAAAGCAGCTTGGTGTGATGCAAGAATTCCTGATGCCAAAATGGCTCTGGCACACAAACACTGTCTTTCTCTTCTGATGAGCTTTCCTACGGGCTATGCTTACACTGAACTTTTAAACTGTTTCTAAATTGAAAAATTTAAAACACCTACTTTGCTGCAATTGCTCCTAATAAGAACAGTTTATAAAATAATACATCTCTTTGAATTATGCCTTTAATTGTGGCTCTTCCTAGCAAATCTCTTCTGTAATGCTATTTTTGGGCCTAAAGTTATGTTTTATGTTGCTTTTTCTGCACAGGCGTTATTGCTCAAGAAGTGAAGGAAATTCTTCCAGAAGCAGTGAAAGATTCCGGGGAAATGGTCTTTACCAGTGGGAAAACTATTGAGAACTTCCTTGTGGTAAATAAGGTGAGTGGAACTCTTGGAAATAAACTAGCAACAGACTGGAATTAATATTCTGAAGAAAGCTAAATCCATGCAAATTCTGGAAAATATATCTTTTTCCCCATTTTTTAAAAAGTTGCATTTAGATATTTTGTTTAACAGTGTTTTTTTTTAGGCAGCGCAAGTTATCACACTCACTGGCTTGAATTGATGTTGAAGGAGATAAAGATAAAAATAGGAAGGCTACTGACAAGAATAAGCTCGTTCAAATCATTGCAGGTGATTTGGTGGAGGATAGTAAGAGAGGCAGTCAGTCTATATTTCTCAAAAAGCCTTCAGAAGAGAAGAAAGGACAGATCTTAGTTCTTCTCATGTCTCCTACATTTAGCTTGACCTCAGATAAAACTGCTTGTCTTTTATAAGGACCAAGAAGAATCTAATCTCATGAAAAAGTATACCAACTACCTTGCCACATGTTGTGCAAGTGAATACCTTGCCCCAACCTAGGCGCTGGGCAGATTATGGACTAAAATAAGCCCATAAATATCCTTGGCTATTGAATGCTTATTCTATTAAAATAAATTTTATGCATGTTTTCAGGTATAATATATTATAAAAGGTTTCTTTTATGAAAATATAGTGCAAATGTATTTTGGTGGTGTTTAAAAATAAAATGAGATACCAATGCAGAGATGGAATAGATTTGTGAATTAACAAATAGAAGACTGATGGAGACCAGAAAGAGACTAATCCAGCCATTCCTACATCTCAATAAACATACATAAACTGTGCTATAGTATTATGGTCACCTGGAAAATACAGTTTCACAGTTTAGATGTAGTCCTACCATCAGTCCTGAAGACAGATATCCAGTTTTTGGTCTCTTGAAGATAGGTATCCAATTTTTGGTATTTCCTGCCTTCAGTCTTAAGGCTAGATATCTAATTTTTGCTGATGGTTAAGAGTGCATTTACATGGGTAAAATGTATATGCTATTGCATCCATTCCTGGAGATACCAGGTATGACCACAATGGCAAATTCCTTGCCTTAATAATAGCAACAACTCACTTGGTCTTAAAGCTGACATGTGCTCTAAGTGGAGCTTTTAAAAGTGTTTCAGCTGGTCCAGAATATCATACTGAAGTTTATTGAGAGGGCCACTTATAAGAAGTCTGATTTCATCCCTTAAAGCTATACATGTTGCTGTTTGCAAGCAATGCAAGTCTGCCCAGGCTTTAAAACCTATAGAAGATGCTCTCTCTGTTCCACTGTGATCAGAGGTGTGCCTGGTGGAATATGGAAAAGGGCCTGTCTGTGTCTTTAGAACTCCTTGCTTAACAGAAGCCAGGCTGGTTTTGTCTTTGCCTGCCAGCAGAAAGTTAAGAATTTTTTTTTTTTAATTTATGCAGGTATGTGGCACGTAAGCTTGTTGCCAGTTGAGGGATTTTAATTTGGCTGGATACTGATTGTGTCTCTTTATTGAGATATTTAATTTGTGTTTAAACAGTTTCTTTATCTTTTCATTAGCATTAGCTGCCTTAAATACCATTTTGAGTGGGATGTAGATTCACTAAATTATATATGAGATTTTTAGGTACTGTCAGGAAGCAATCTTTCTCCAGAAGGGAGCAGAATGGTGGTAGCAATGAATTAATGGTACTGTAAACATATGAAAAATATCTGCACAGATTGATTGAGTTTCATCTTTGAAACGTGTGAATATTAGAAGCTCAGAACATCAAAGAAGTTGTAGAGGAAAGAGTTTAAGGTTGAGTCCCTTTCTTCAAGGATGGGCTTTTATATGTCACTGTTACATATGCTGCAACATCATAAAGTTTCTGTATCCACATTTTTCCTTACAAATTTTGCATAGCGAAAGGATTTCTGCAAAAGGCCCACAATGAGGAAAGCGTCTGTTCAGTCATTTTGCCTGACATCTTAAGTTTCTTTAAAAAAAAAAAAATGAAAACAAAACATCATCACCCTTTGAAAATAAAAGACCAAGTCACAAGGTAAGGATTCGAGTCCATCAGAAAGGGTTTGCATGAAAACAAACTTTGATTTTGCTCATTGCAGGAGCGTATTTTTATGGAAAATGTTGGGGCTGTGAAGGAGCTCTGCAAACTGACTGACAACCTGGAGAACCGGATTGATGAACTAGAGAGGTGGAGTCATAAACTGGCCAAGCTCAAAAGGCTGGACAGTATGAAGTCAACTGTAAGCTCTGGAGCATTCAGGTAATACAAATACTTGAATTTCAAATATAATTCCTCTTCAGCTTTGCGTCATAACACAGAGCAGCCAGTTGGAGGAAAGGGACTGTTGACAGATTTAATTCTCTATCATGAGCATTAAACCTCTGTTATGTAGGTTGCAATCCTATGACTTAGGAGTAAGCTACATTGAGCACAGTGGGACTTGTCAATATATTAAGATTTGCACTGATAGAAAAGCTCACAGAGTTTTGGAATAGGTTCAGCTATTTTCCCAAGCTGAAGATCTAGTTGCTTCTCCAAGGGAGCAGGAAAGCACATTTTTTCTCCTTCTACCATAATTAAGACCAACATCATGATATTTCTCTGGTTCTTAATGAGATGGGGGAAAATATTGCACCATTCAAGCCTCTGGACTATAGGAGTGTCTGCATGAAGCACTGCTGGTTAGAGTAGGGCCATGAAGAAGAGAATGTATCTCTTCGCTTCTCTACAGAATGGGATCTGTAGGGTATATTTCTGAACTCTCCCAAGATAAACATGGATATAAATCTGTACCTTCAAGCCCATGCTTAAAAGGGCCTGAGAATAGTATGTTTTCCAAGAAGAATGGTAACATCAGATAAACAATGCAGTAAATGTGAAGATAGGTTCATACTTTTTAGAATTATTGAGCCATAGTGCTATACATCTCTGCATTCTACCACGTAATGGTTCCTTAACTGAAATGATGAAATATGTAGTAGTGGAGGAAGAAATATTTGGCTAAACTGAAATTCATGTACTTGCTTATTTTTCCCCACACACCTTTTCTATTTTTAAAAAAATTATGTAAAACGCTTTCTTTGTGGAAGAGAATGTACAGTTCTCATTTCATCCAATGGCTTAGCGCTGCTTTTTGCATTCATTCTGTATTTCATCCCTAAATGTTTTGCTGCCCTCGAGGATACGATCAGTTGAGTGATTCTTCTAAACCTTGTTTCTGTTTTGGAAAAAGTACAGACCTCCTCTAATTTGCCAGAGCCCCATTTTTTGCAGTACGTATTTGTGTGTGTCTCTGAGCATGTATTTGTATGTATGTATGTATGTATGTATGTATGTGATATATACATACTTGCTACTTTGTGGAAAAACTGTTAGAAGTGGAAGAATGAGCAGGGCAGAAGTGTAATAAAAGAAAAAAAAATGCTTGTTGGGATGCATTCTAACTTTCTTTTTTAATGCAGCCAAGCTGGGAGTCAGTTCAGCCGTGCGGAGAGCATGCCACATAAAAAGAGGTCCCCCAAGGTGGCAGGCAAGGTAACCCTATACAAAGATGTATAACGTGTCTTTTCTGTATTAAAGGTGGTGTCGTTGGAATATTCTGTTCTTTGGTAGGAGATGCGGGAGCCAATTCTCTGATTCTCCTATTTTACAAATTGTGTGGTATTTGAAGATATGGAAGCAAAAGATTTGTTTGAGTTCTGAGCAATGTCATGTTTGTTGAGCGTGCTTATTACACTGTTGAGTAAATGCCAGCCTGTTTTGGAAATGTTGGTATGCTAATCCTCTGTCACTTATAAATAATATAAATTCATATTGTAAATTATATTCATCAGCTCTGAATATAAATTCATAGCTGATGTGGCTAAGAACTGTAATGTGTGATACATTCCTTGATCTGAAATTCTTTCTAGAGGTGGTGCTCAAATTCCTGTTTCACCCAACAGCTTTCTGTTTTAGTGATTTGTCACTTCTGCTTTAAAATACTTGCCTTTCCTCCATGTAGCTCTGCCAATCCTTAGCCAATGTAATGTTTTAAATTAATCAATTAATTAATTAATAAGTCTTTGTGCATCTTTGCTTTTCCTTGGGGAGATTTAGGTAACTGTTCCAGAGGTTCTATAGAAAGTAGAGTTTGCTATTACTGAAGTGACACAGTAACAGTGACAAGATAGGGATCAAAACTACATTTGTCAAGCAGATATCTGACATGCTTTTTCCCTTTGCTTGTATCTTGTGCAGACTCCTACACAGGGAATCACAGACCAAGCTTGCATCAGCCAACGTTTTCTGCAAGGTACCATTATTGCTTTGGTGGTCATCATGGCATTCAGGTGAGTGACTGCACATCTGGCAACTTACCACTCCTTGGGTTAGTGCAGCACCCAGAATTATAAATGTATGAGAGGGCCTGTTGGCCTGTGAGTGAGTAGAATGAACTTATTTTATTTTCATCAGTTTATTTCACTGTAAATCAAGCTGCCTGCTTTTTCAGCATGATGCTCTTATTTGTGAGAATTAGACTGCATTGTGCAACACTAAGAAAAATCTACATACTTAAATCCCATGTAGCAAAATATCCATGTTTTAATGATGAAATAAGAACATAGCAAGCTAGCAGTGGTTGACATAGCTGCACTGATTGCCATGTTTATTCTTTAGAATTAAAGTCTTGAGCAAAAATTTGATTAGCACTTCAGAGTAAAGAGATGGACGAACATACAAATTTGAACCTTTAAAAAAAGGCAGGATAAGGCAGTAAAGTTTTCCAAAATTGAGTGAGTTTTGGCAACAAGTTGAACTAAGAAAATATGAAAAGCAAATGGGACTATCCTGGATTTGGCCATGAGTTTCCAGTTTTTCTTGGGGAAATTTAGGACTTTTCTTTGTTTTCTTTGTTCTGGCATTGTTAAAACTATTGTAAGAGCTACAGTAACTGCACTTATAGTCAGTGGATGCTTTATGGATATTGAAAAGGAGATAAGAGAGAACAGGAGTAAACTGTGGAGTAGAAATCACTTTCAATCTAAGTCACTTATATTCATGAATATAAGTGACAAACAAATATGGCCTGTTAGAGTAGAGCTCCTATTCTGTCTGAAACACAGAAACTCTATTTTTAGAAACTTTATTGGATGTTTTCTCTTTCCCAGTGTGGTGTCCATGTCTACACTCTATGTGCTAAGCTACCGCAATGAGGAAGACCTTGTGGATATTGAAGGGTATGTTTCTTCCTTCCCTCCTTCTGGTCATATGCTTTGAAAAGTAATTGGGCTCCTATTTGAGCCCTTGCCACCTTCTGCATATTTTATCTGAAATGAGGGAGTCTTAATGCAGATGTTTGGAGCCAGCTGTACCATTCTGGGATGACGAAAGAATAAGCAAGACAGGAAAGGGTACTGAGTGTAGGCATCAGCAGCTGAGCACCAGCATCTTACGTGTTACCTTGCCCTGCCAACGACTTTGAATGTTTTCAACTGAGATTGTGCATATGTTTAGGATATTTCTTTTCATGACCACATCTTCTTAGAATTTGCTGCAATTTATAAATTCTATAACAGATGTACATACATAATTAAGCAGCGAACACGAAATGTGTACAGGCATACTGCTGTACATATAATATTTAGGATCTGTTCTAAATAGTCATCAATCAGTTTCTAGAACCTGTGCTGTTTTATATGATTGTTCATATGTCCTATCTATATGCCGGTTTGAAATGATGTATTTTGGATAATTCACAGTGGAACTTTAATTACTAAATTGACCTTTCTCTTTCCCTCCCCTTTGCTTGCTTCTTTTTTTGCTCCATTTATTTATCTCCCCCAATCCTTCTCTGTCTACCTTTCCCATCAAATGGTGTTGGTTACAATTTCTCTTGCCTGGTTGTTCCATTTCTCCTTTCCTCCTCTGTTTTCTGTGCCTTGTAGCTCTTTTGCTGTGCCTACTACTTGCCTTCTGGCTCTTTTTCAGCACAGAGGTCCTGGCGTCCCAGTTGCTCTCTGTCCATGGTATGGTCCTACTTTTTCAATATGCTGCAATACATTTGTCCCGTTCTTTCAAATCTGCAGCCTTGTATTTTTATGCACTCTCCCCTCTTTTTATATCTGTCTGCATTTTAGTATTCCTTCCCCTCAACAAAGGCTGACAGGGAAAGAGTTTTTGTAAGGCTTAAATTGGTGTACTAAGACCAAGCTTAAATAATGTATTAAAGTCATGACTAGTTTGAATGTACAAAATATAACATGAAAAATAGGAAGATTGAAAGTGCAGTTCTTAATTGCAAGAAATCATCATCACTTTTAATGAAATTTATTTCACTAAATAGGTTTGGGTTGCAGTCAGTCTGAAAACAGGATGCTGTAAAGCTCTCACTCCAAACTCATAGGCTGATGTCAACCTCCATTGGTGCAGCCAACAAAGCAACATTTAATGGGATGCAAAGGATCTAGGGCTGTACTAGGAAAGGAAACAACTCTCAGATTCCTGGAACCACTTTTATGCTTGCAGAATGCGATGTGCAGTTGTATGCTTATGAATCCATATGCTAAATAATATAAACAGGTGTCATCAGGTAGAAAACATGAACAGCTAGCAGACCAGGGAGAATCATGTCTTGGTTGGAACCAGGGCCATTTATCAAATTCTGAATTATGCTTGCAATCTCATCTTAAGAATGTTCTGTTTTCAGAATTTTCTGTTTTGCAGTGGAGGGGGGTGGGTTTGGAACGGATTTAAAGGAACGATTAGCCCATTCGCCCTTTGTTACTTTGTCAAAGTATACTTGTATGTTTGTTCTGTGTTCATTCAGGACAGTCATTCTACTTTCCATCTGTTTTCCTGCCCCACCTCCTTTTTTGCAATATGTTCTAAGTCTTCAGATTTCAGATTTGACCTCATGCACAGCCTCTACCTTATTCCATCTCTTTCCTTAGCTATATATGACTGTTTCTGTTTTATGTCAAAGCTTCATGCCTGCATTTTTCTCGCATTTTAGGTCCAATCAGAACATAGATAAAAATCAGATGACATTTTCCACTGCTGCATCATTAAGTACCCCTGATGATGCTTCCCTTTCAGAGCATGGTAGGTACCAGTTGTTCCCATCCCCAGGTGCATTTCAAACCCTCATTTCCATTGCTAATCCCTCAAAAGAAATTTGAATACAATCTGTTTTCTCTTCTACTGACCTTGAAAAATTGAGAACAGGCACCAAAATATGTAATATAATCACTGCCCTATCCTAATCTGCTAACAAAAGTCCCTTCCTAACCATATCACACAAAAAGGAGATAAATTAAATGTCTTGCATTGTCTCTCCTCACCTAGGTCCTTGTTTCATATTTCAGCAGATCCTATGAGGGGAAGTTCTAAAGGCAACAAGCCACCATTTCCCTTGAAAAACTTGCTAATACAATTGAAGCTTAGGAGCCAGAAGACAGGGTAGGATGAGAGCTGCTGCAAATACAGGTAGTCCTCGCTTAACAACCACAATTGGGATCAGCAAGTCCATCACTAAGCAATGTGGTCATTAAGCAAAATATCACATGACCACACCGGACTTACATCACTCCCGCCATGGTTGTTAAGCAAATCACCTGTGGTTGTTAAGTGAGACATCATGTGACCATGACTTGCAATTTTATTGCTGGGTTTTCCATTGACCTTGCTTGTTGGAAACCAGCTGTGAAGTGCACAAATGGCAACCATGTGACTGCGGGACACTGTGATGGTCATAAGTGCAGGGACTGGTCGTAAAGTTCCTTTTTAGTGCCATCATAACCTCGAATGGTTGCTAAACAGGACAGTCATTAAGCAAGGACTACCTGCAGAGTGATAGACAACCCACAAGCAACAGAGTTTCAAAGAAAAGACTAGTTTTACTGCAATTTCAAATACATCACAGCTTAGCTAGAAATAAATTGGCTCAGCCACAAACAGAGACAATAGTGTAAGATCACATGGTGTGAGATTGATTCTAGAAGAGCTGCATGTCTGAATCCTCTTGAACCCTCCTGAATCCTTAAATATCTGGATTTCTCACCTGGAGATTCAAAGGTGGGAAATGTGATTGATTTCCCTTAGGATGCACACAAGAAAATACTACTGGTAAAGATGCACTAACATTAAGCTCTGTTTAAAAATGGTCTCTGCTCTTCACTGGAATATTGGTTTTCTGCTGTGGACGAAGTCAATCCATGTGCCCTGCATGAGGGAATTCACCCAGATTAAGAGAAAAGATAAATTCAAAGATAATTTTGTGAATTAGGAATTTAGTGCAGGAACCCAATTGGTGCTGTTTTGGGTTTGATGCAATTGATCTTGATTGTGTTGTTCTTTTCTTACAGCTACAACCCATGTACCTGACTTTTCCCCTGCCTTGCCTGCCTATAACATCGTAGTCTGTTTCAACCCACCTTGTTTTTCTACCTGCTGCTCTTCTGTTCCCAACAATGTATCTTCTCCTGGAACTTCTGGGACCACTACAGTTGCCACCAACCGGATAGGTAAAGCCATTTGGTCCTACCTATTTACTTATTTAAGAATTTATAGTCATAGACCAAAAAGTAGGAAATGACATTAAAATGAAAAATATCTAAGATAAAAGCCCACTCACAACACAAGCTAAGCATGCCTATGTTATACTCTGAACCAGAGATTTCTGACTGCCATTGCTACAGCACAGAATTTAGCTACAGTCTTGGTCATTTAATAGGAAGCACACGCTTGCTCGGATCGGTGTGGATAAATTGTAGTTAGAGGAGAGATTGACTCCATCCCCCAAGGATGATAGATAGGGCATTTCAAAAGTACAAATGCAACTGTCAAAATTTCAGGGTCTGAACATGTGCATAAGCATTCTGGGTGGGAGACATTGTTGCATCTCTTGGTCAATACCATTAAAGGCAGAGCATTTAAGCACTTTTTTTCCTATCCAAGACGATGCTGCGGCTGCAGCAGTTCGTGTTCATCTATTCTGTCCTGAATGCACAGAAGTAGAGTCAGATTTTCTTTTTGGGGTGGGGGGCAGAGATCTGGATTACCATATGTCTTCTGAGTTCAATTCATTTTCTGTGTGAATGTTTTTCTGCACCATTTAGCCACAGTATTTTCCCAAATGGGTAGTTATCTGCTATACTGTTGTGTTAAATGGATCATTATCTGCTACCAAATAGATACTTATCTGCTATATCACACCACAGCTACTTCAATAAACTCCCTAGTTAAATATGTATGCCTAATAATTGTACAAGGATGTGGATGTACAATAGTAACTTTTCCACTAATTGTTTGACACCTTTGGTTATTAGAAGGATGTTTGTATATCTGACAGTCTGGGAGTAAACTATCTACATTCAGAGAACAAATTCTTTAGATAAGTACTGTAGCCATTTGTACAAAAGGGACAGATGCCTTAATTTGATGCAGCAAAAAAGGAGGAATTAGGGCACCTTAAAGGCTATCAACTGTTTTAAGCAACAGGCATCATTTAATGCCAAGAGCTTTTTTCATCAGGTAAATTAGCATAAAGTGGGCTTCCTTTCTCTTTCTATGAATATTTTTCTACTTTCCTTACCTAGCTGAAGGAAGGAGAGAAGATCTAAGTGACTAAGCCATATTTACATCATTATTTACATCAAACTGAACCAGTTTCAAAGGATTGCTCTTGGGGGGTCTTAATAATTTTGTTTTAATCACTATTTTCTGGGTTCCTTGGGCATTCTGGTTGTCAGTCTCAAGACTATTCTATTAGGAAGGTTTATCTTGCTTCCCTATTTATACCTGATCATTGCATTCTTTCTGGAATTTCTAGATTTCTCTTCCAGAATAGAATGGACAAGAATGTTTAAATATTGGAGAATGTGTGATTTCGGTTTTCTTAAGGAAAGGGGTAAATTCAGTGCATGTAGAGAATGTAATTGATCATTCTTGCTTTCCCATCAGTTGCCTAGTGGAAATCAGTTCTTGCAGATGCCATTTTCTCCAAAGATGTTTTTATATGGAATACTGTCTTAAGAAATTCCTGCTGGGTTCTCACTAAGAATGTAAATCTGAATAAAACTTCAGAATGCATGGAAACTTTCATAGGGGAATTTTCATCTATATTAAAAATTAAAGTTTCTCTCTGTAGAAAATTAGTATGTGAAGAAAATAATGGTTTCAGACCAGCTTTTTCTCTGACTTGCTAATTTAGTATATAAAGGGATTTGATTCATTGGTTTGGTATGAAGAACTCAACCATGTGAATTTACAGTGTTAGATGCTAGTCACAGGTTTATCACCTCTGGGAATTAAGCTGCCTTAGACCTTACCCCTTAGGTTCTTTTATCTGTCCATTGCTGGGCCCTTCTCAAATTAGCTTTGTTAATTTTTAATTTTTGGCCCTCACAGACCAAAGCTTCATGTCACTCCTACCAGTGACAAACATCAAAGCCAAATCGAGGGGGATCACCAGCAAGACAACTTCCCACACAAAGTGGCCAAAGACTGCTGACCGATCACGGGGCTTTGGCAATCCCAATGCCAGCCCCTCCTCCCTCTTCACCAACATCCAGGGCAAGTCCAAATATATTGCCAATCTTCCCCTCACACACAACAACTTCCCACCTGATCGGACGGCACGGCAGCGACGAAGCATTGGCCAACCAGATGCTAAGGAGCCTGGCATCGCAAGCACCAAGCATGAGGGTAAACATATTCCCCATTCTCCCTGATTACCTGGGAGTAGAGAAAATTCCCACCATCTCTGCTCACCCCACCAGATCTAGCGGGGAGGGCATGTTAAATAAGGTCTTCTTGTTGGACCCAGGAATGGTGCTTTCTCTGTGGCTGCCCTCTGGAATGTCATCCCTTCAGAATTTCAGATGGCCCCAACCCTGTTAGCTGTTCGTAAGGCATTAAAGGCCTGGCTATTCCTCCAGGTGCTTGGGCCAGGAGATTGGGCAAGGTCTGCCAGTTAATGCTACTTTCTTATAAGTTGGCATTATTAATTAGGGATCTTGGATGTTATGGTTTGGGTGGTTAAACTGTTGTTTTCAACCTTGTATACTGTCCAGAGGAGATGGGCAGACATATAAATCAAATAAATAAACAGGCATTGTTTAACTGAAGAAGGAAAAAAGTTTCTTGCCCCCAAAGACAGCATGCACCAATAGATGATGGTTCAGAGACCTCACACTAGTCCAATGTGTGGCCAGGAGCAGCAGGAACCCAGTCATCCTTGTCTCTTGCATGTGTGCAGGAACTTGCATGTGCCTCACCCGCCACTTTCAAGCAGAAACATATAACCTTCAATTATTCCCTCACCCATGTGCACACACATTATTCCCACATGCAAACCACCTCCTCCTCCCTACTGAAGTTGACTAATCATTGGGCTGTGGGCATGCAGGAGAGAGCCAGTTTGGTGTAGTGGTTAAGGTACCAGGCTGGAAACCAGGAGATGGTGAGTTCTAGTCCTGCCTTAGGCACGGAGACAGCTGAGTGACTTTGGGCCAGTCACTCTCTCTCAGCCCTAGGAAGAAGGCAATGGCAAACCACTTCCAAAAGTCTTGCCAAGAAAACTGCAGGGGCCAGTCCAGACAGTCGTCAGGTGTCAAGACTGACTTGAAGGCACTCCCAACGGGCATGAAAGAAAGATTTGGGTTCAGATGGCTGATTCATTTGCGGTGAACCAGCCAAGGCCTCTGAAGCCCTTTCCTGCTCTTGAGCTGCAGACTCTTCACATATGTTTTAACTGTGTGCAGATACCTCCTTAATATATCTTGCACTTCTTTATTCCATCTTTATTCTCCTCCAGAACCTCCCCATTATATTTGCTAGTGTAGTTTTCTTTTTTCAAACTGTGCTGACTGGGAATATGAGAATGGCCATCCTAAGACATCTGGAGGCCAAAGGATGGGGAAAGCTGTTGATGTAATCATGTCCACACTGCTGGAGAACACGTTATTTTTCCACCTGTGCCAGATCTTCCCCGGCTATACTGCTAGATCACTATTTTGTTCCTTTTGTGCCCCATGCTACATGTAAAGCTCTGCGAGGTGATGGCATACATACATCCTTAGTAGACATGGTTTGTGGATCCCATTCCATATTGTCTGATTTCCTTTCAGCTGGGTTGTAGACAGAAATACATATGGTTGCAATGGTTAGAAGTAGATCACAGTCCTAAAGCTCTCTCTTCAGAATGATTGGCACTTGGAAGGACTTCCTATGCAGAGTAATTTCCTGCTCCACCTTGATCATCTCTGTCCTGTAGGAACAGCTCCTGTACTCCAGTCTGTGTCACTTTTGGAGACGAACGTGATCATCTTACCGCAGGTCTGTGCTACAGGGGATGATTGCAGGTAAGTGAGAGCATAGGAGCCATAAGCTTTGTTAGACTGGGGGTTCTTTTTTTGTAATATATTTTTAATTAGAATTTTTCAATGTAGTAAAATATGCAAAACAAACAAGAACAAAGAAAATAAGAAATAGGAAAAAAGAAATTAAAAAAAAAGAAAAAACATTTATGCCTTCCACCCTTCTTTCTGTCAAGTAATTATCATCTTAAACTTTTCCCCAACCTTTTCATCCCTTTTTAATTTCCAGATCCCGAAATCATCAATTCATTTTTTTCTTCTTTCAACAAAAAGTCCATATAAGGTTTCCAGCCTTTCAAAAAAGTCTTTATTGTTTTTTTTTCTCTGACCAAACTGGTCAGCTTCGCCATTTCTGCAAGTTCAGTTAATTTTATACTCCAGTCTTCCACTGTAGGCATTTCATTGTTTTTCCAAGTTTCTGCACACATTAACTGGGAGTTCTTAAAGATCAGATTCCTAGGAAGGAAATTGTGTTATCCAGATAACTAAATATACCAATTTAGGATTTTTCCATGCATCTTGGTTGCCATGATGTCATCAGTGATGAACAATGGAATTATATTTGAGTGAATACATACAAAGCACAGTAGGAAAATCTGAAGATGAGCAAAAGTTTGTGGTATATCCTTTTCTGTTTATGCCTGCAGGACAGGGAATATCACTTACCGCATTCCCATCAGCAAGTTTACATCAGTGAATACAAATCTTACTCTGGAAATGAAGTAAGTAAGAACCTTTGGGAAAGCAGGGACTTGGATAAGGATTATTGTCTAAAATGCTCTTGTAAAGGATAAACAGTTAATAGGGAACCAGATTGAGAAAGAAGAATTCCAAAATGCATAAATACTTGAGAAAGATGTGATATTTGCTATCGTTTCACTATTTGAGAATACTATTCTCAATATTATTCATCTGAGAATAGTATTGAGCCATGAGGAAGATGGCAGAGGGGCTTGTGGTGAGGCTTGACAGTCAGGCACTTCTCTTGAACAAGTAACACATTGCATCTGGTTACCCCATTTAAGAATCCTATCTTCCCTTACTCAGAGGACTGGAGATTTCACAGAGAGACAGACACTGCTATGGTGGTGCTCTTATTTAAATTTCTATGCCATTTCTCATCCCATAATCACAGAGCCAGTTGTTGCAATAACCCTAAAATGGCCACAGTGAAAAATTAAAATCTGTCAGTGCTACTCCGGGAGAATGCCATGTATTTCATATCCTGACATACTGAAGATAGGAAGTGAGGTATGACACAGGAGAAAGTCTGTGTGTCAGAAGGGAAGGCTTGTAGCTCAGTGACAGAGCACATGGTTTCTCTGCAGAAAAAATCAGGTTTGGTCTCTGACCTCTCCAGTTCGGCCTCAGCAAAACCTGCTTCTGAAACACTAGAAACTACCGTCACCACAGAATGGCTAGGCCACTGGGAGCTATAGTTCAGCAGCCTCAGGAGCGCCACATGTTGCCTAGTTGAATGATGGGCCAGCAATGCTACTTTATGCAAGGCACCTCCCTGTGCTCTTAAAAGATCATTTTGCTCCTTTGTGTACCCCACTCAAGAGAATTCTCCACTGTGATATTTGTCTGTATTTTTCAACCTGGAAAACCAGAGCAGTTTGGATCAGGGAGTGTCTCATAATATTGTTGGTTGGTTGGTTTTTTAACGTTCCCTCCCAAGATGTTTCATAGAAAGTAAAGGGGAAATTAGAGAAGTGGCTTGTCAGCTACCACTTTCACGGTTTTGATTTGTTCAAAATAACTTCACAAAATGTGGCTCCATTATTCCTTGGAGCCTAAAATACGTTGCCTTTCTGTCTTCTCTACCTGCATGCAAGCAACAGCACTCCTGAAAAGACTCTGGAGAGATATTTCAAAGGGGGAAGGGGGAAGAAGAGGAGGGAATGCATCCCAATGTTAGGGTGTATTCCTTCCTTTTCAAAGTTCAAATCCGGTATAATGGTATACAGTGAGGAGTTATATAACTTTGGTGGGTGAATATGCAAAGTGAAAAAGAATACTTCACAGCGAGATAAGAATATGAATTCATAGGCCATATTAAAAAAGTGGCATTTATATTATTACAAGTGCCAAGAAAAGGCAGTGTTAAAAATGACCTACTCATCTTCGTTGCTTTAAACTAGATGCTTTCTGTTTCTTTCCTTCCTCTCAGTGCTTCTTCAGCTGTATCTGGCTATCTTTGTAATCTCACATCCAACAACCCATGTCTGCGTACTGATGATGACCTCGACAGCTTGTCTAATGGAACAGATATTCAGGTATGATTTTTTTAAAAAAGGTATCTCACAGAATAGGTGCTTACCTGCTAGATAACATATTTGCATCTAAGATTTTGTTCATAATAGAAAATCAGATTCGTACTTTCAATTTGTTGTGTACTTAGACAGATCTCAGTTTTGTTTGGGACAGATAGTGTTGCCTTTATTTCTTGAAGATTGCTCTTTAGTAACCTGCTTTTTAAAAAACTGACTGTAGCACTGATTCCTCTCATCTCCTTTCTTTTCCCCTTCTCTCCCCTTGTCCCTTTCAAAATAGAAACATAACAGCTTGGACGTGGAGCTAAAATAATATATCGTATATACTAGATACTAGATGTGGATTAGCCCATCTGTGGATAAGCTGACTCTTGAAATTTTCATATGTTTTAATTTTCACAATTGGTTTATCTGTGGGTAATCCACAGATTATCCATTTTCCGTGGTATTTTGGTTAAAAAACTGAGGGTCAGCTTACCCATGGATGGGCTTATCCGCAAGTATATATGGGATATACAGGTACTTTTAAAAAGTATTATTGTATATACTTGCGGATAAGCCAAACTCAATTTTTGGGGTGTATTTTGCACCTGAAATTCTTGCCTTATTCATGACTATATATGACACTTTCTGCCTGCTGCTTTCTAACATCAGTGTCTTGCTAGAAAGTGGGAGCAGAGAGCAAAGGACTTTCACTTCACCTGGACAGCCTGGGAAATGGGGCAGTGTTCAGCAGCAGCAACTTCCTTTCATCCCAGGTTTTGGATGTTCTCTTTCCCTAGGGAGCAACATACCGTTGGTCTGTGGTTATGATGCCGTTCCAGGAATTTACCTACCACTTCCGATTAGCTAGGCCTGTGAGTATCAATACCTGCCGTGGGCTCTCTAGCATACATTTGTGTGGCATCTTAGTTCTTAGAGAGGAAGAATTACAGCCAAGGCAATGAAGTTGCCCTTTGGTAATCAGTCTCCCTCTGGCATCACATTAATGTGGGCACTGGGTGAATAGAGAGCTGAAAGCTCCTAAGTTAAATGAGATGAATGTGTGTATGGATGATGTCCATGTGTGGAAATGTGTACAAGGAAGGTGTGAGTACCCCGTATTTAAATTCTCTCCTAGTAAGTCCTGGATAGATAAGAAGTGGTTCTGTGTCCTTTGGGAGGAGAATCTCTAGTTTTCAGAGAGATCCTTGTTTCACTTTAGCCCTAATCTTCAGTAGAGAGAAATAGGTACATCTGTGGAGTTAATCAAGAGACTTTAAGAACACTGTCAAATTTCTTACCACAGTATTGAGACTGTTGTTTTTGCTCTGGTGTAACTTCTGTGTGAGAGTAAGCAGAGGGGAGACTTGAACTTTTAGGGAGCAGATTTAAAAGAAGAGTTTGTTGGGGAAGTCTGATTCAGGGACACAAGACATCAGTATAAAAGGCTTCTGTGCCTTGACCACACATAGAAAATTTGCTTTTCTTCACAAAATCAGAGAGCAGTTCAAGTGATCTAAGGGGACCCATTCAGAGTATGAGCTCATTTTTTACTTTGACTCTAAATTTGAACTCATTCACATTTTTTCCAAAGAAGTAATAGTTTTGTACTAATGATCCTACCAACTATCTGTGGTTTGCTGCCCCAAAGACAAATTGCTTCTGATAATGACAGCTATTTGCAAACCCTTGTGATTCCCTCAAGATGAGTGCCTTTAATTAAATAAACATTCATTTCCCTTGAACTTTATTGTTTTTTCATTCTCTCCTTACAGGGCCAAGCTAACTGCAGTACCCCTGCGGAGCAGATGGGCTCTCTCTTTAATGACTACTATTTTCAGTTCTACTGGCTCTGTGAGTGAGTCTCAGGAGCACCTTTGATAGAAGCAGAAATGGGCCCCAAAGACTCATTCAACTGAATGTTCTCTTCAGAGAACACCATGCCCTGACTAGTTGCTTCTAATCTACAAGTCCTTGGTTTCCTTCCTAACAGAGGGATATTAACCTTAGAATGCCATACTTTGGGGAGGAATGCTGCCACAAGCAAACATGGAAATAGGGAGGCATTTGTTTTCTTGATTTCCTCTAGGATACTAGAATTCCTCTCTCTTGTGACTACACTGGATTTTAAAATTTTAGACTTGACCATGCTTGTGTTCAATCTTTTTGGACACCTCGGAACTGAAAGATATGGCTTGGCTGGAAACAAATCTTGGTGCCCAGAGAGTCAGTGAAGCAGCTTTCTAAGGCACATTTCTTACCAATGATGTTAGAAGTCCTATTCTAAAATGGAAACACTGGATCTGTCTGAAAAGGAATTCTGTCTGGATGCATTGCAAGTCATACACTGGAATTTTCAACTTTCTAGCTGGCAGCCAGATGCTTCTCTTTAAAGCTATGCTTGGCAGAAATCCTGGTGACACTGGAATTCAGGGCTGATAGGTTGTTTTCAGTAGCAATAACCAATGGAAAAGCTATGGGGTTTACCTCACACTTCTTCCTGTGTCTAGTTTACTATAGATTTGTATTCTGTAGTCAACAAACCTCATGGACCCGGCAAAAGCCACTCTGCAAGTCTCACACGGGCCATGTTTGCACCCAAAGTGCCTTCTTTTCAGGACTGGATGAAGATGCTTCTCAAGAAGTTAGGTCTCTTCTATCAGATGTACTTGAGAAATTAGCCTCTGGGCTCTGCAACTGGACTCCACAATGCTGGTATCATAATAGCATTGATGAAACCTTTTAAATCCCATTATCTGCAGCTGCCAAAAATACATTTGTCCCAAAGAGAATATGGAAGAACTCATAGTATTAACCCTTGTGCCAGAAGCCGAAGAAAGGAGGCCACCAGAAGGAATGTACCCAGTGCTAAAAATATCCACACTGATTTTTTTTTTTTAAATCCCTAAAGGGTCTCTGCAAGGCAACAAACTAAACACTTTCCTTCACTCCAGGCTTTGAGTTTCCTTCATATTTCGGGTAATTTACTGTTACAAGGTTTTACTTGCTAAACCGCTTATCTTTTCTTTCACCAAAAAGAAGAAGAAGAAGAAGAAGAAGAAGAAGAAGAAGAAGAAGAAGAAGAAGAAGAAGAAGAAGAAGAAGAAGAAGAAGAAGAAGA